ACGAACCAAAGGGTCAGTGATATCATGCTGAGGCTGGTAGCCAACTCGATTGTGCGGGTCAGCGAAAACCTCAACCGGAGGAGAAGCTTCACCCCCTTGGCTAACCCATTCCTTTGTCATGCCTGCTGTCCCTGCGAAGATCTCCCTGAAGAGCAGTTTGGATGCCCCATCGGCCGCTCGGACGGCTCGTTGATGAGTGGTCGAACCCGCAACTCCGGACCCATACATGTTGGCATAGGATGTGGCCACTGCAGCTAAAGTGCTATGCTGGCGGATCAGGCCTGACCCGAGTGAGGTATCTCCTGCTCGACGTGGTGGGCGGCATAGCCGGCGCGCTACTCGTCCTGGGGCACTCACGGGTTGATCGTGGCGGGCATGCCAGTAGAAATTGAAGCCAAGGACCGGGGTACTTTGACGCTCCTCCACCGCCAACCATGCCAGCCCATCGAAGTCAGCTGGCGGTTGTAACAACACCATGTGCCCTTTCCAGATCAAGGTCCACACTATCCAGCCTCCATCTTCCCAATCCGGACCCACGATGGTCTCCACGAGCAAGTTCCCTTGGAAATCCGCTCTCACCACCACCACTTTGGCCGCCCCGAGCTCCATGATAGGGAAAACCGCTAAGCTTCGGAAGTCGCGTTCGTGGGCTGGATGTAGGAGGTCATGAAGGTACACCCTCAACTCGTGCTCGATTGGGGTCACGAATTCCGCCGCCTCTCCCATCTGGGTGGCTGCATCCAGCGCCAGCCGAGCCTGATCCGACCTCAACTCCCGGGCCTTATTCTCGACCTCCTGCAACGTAGGGCGTCTCCCTTTTTCTCTCCAGAGGATACCGGCTGCCAAGGTCTTGGTGACACACTGCCGTTTTTCTATCACCGGCTCCGGCATCTGAAGGATCCCCGCCAGCTCTTCGGACATGAAGACTTCCTCTTGGTAGTCCCAACTCCTCCAGGATCTCCCATCCACCTCCACAGAGCCTTGGCCTGGTTCACCAGTGGCCCACATAGTTTCTCTCACGACCAGACGGGTATTCTCGCCCGCCCTCGTGCCGCCCTGTTTTTCAAGAATGATGGCAGCTTCCTCTGCGAGATCTGCTACCCCGTAGGCCACCATCTCCCCCATGAGCTCTTCGAACGTAACTTCTCCATCTGCAGCTACCCTCGCCGATGCCCACGCGTAGAGATCATCTGACGCCTCCTGCAACTTTCCCAGAACCGGGCCCGCCGCTAGCTTCTCGGCTTTGTCCACCATGTTCACGGCCTCCTCCGGCGCCTGGAAGTCTTGGAAGGGGAAATAACCACGATCTTGATGCCGGACTGGTAGCCCCCAGGATCGGTCGTCTCTGTTAACGAAGTCCCTGACGTCCTCCTGCTTGGTGTAGTCGATCGCCTCGAACTCCTCCGGCACCTCGTTGAAGTGGACGGTACAGGTTCCACCTGCCTTCACTTCCTCCGCCTTTTCTCCCCCGTCGTCCTCCTTGTCAGCCCCCGCCTTCCGCTTTGGTTTGCTGATCTTTGAGGCCTTGTCCTTCTGAACTCCTTGGCGAAGGGCTTGGATCTTGTCTCTCGCACTCAGCCGTCTCCTGCTTCATGCGACGAAGACCTCCCCGACGCAGTAGTTGCATCTGAACTGCTGGGTCCAAAGCTTCGAAAGATCCCTTGAGGTTCTCATGGGCCCGTTGGCACGTAGTGGAGTGGCACCCTGCATGCGTCAGATAGCCCCAACATAGTAATGCCCCCCCTTTTCCAACAGGTGCTCGATCTCGTGCCTTGTTCACTTCCTCCTGGGTGAGCTTCGGGCCAATGAGGTTCGTTGAAGGTTTTCCCCCTCCTCGACTGTCCTCTTCCGCCTCCTTTTCTCCCCCAGCGTGCAACCCTGCGGTCTGCTTCTTGTCGCCTCCCCAAGTCAAGCGCCAGAGAGCCCGCTCCTGTCTCCTTTCGATGCGAGGCTCCAGCTCCATCTTGAACCACCCTTCCGGGTTGAGTAGATCGAAAGTCCGTGGGAGCTCCAACCAAGCGCGTCCTTCTGGGCCAGGAAGTAGTGCATGGAACCTGATCTCCGCCAGGGACATGGACTCCCTTTTTGCCACCTTCTTCAACTGACGAAGGACCTCTTTCATTTCTTCCATGAAACGCCAGTGAAGTTCCTCCCACGCGTCCATCACTATCTGCAGCGGCCACTTGCGGGGAAGCTCTTGATGCCAACCTGCCAGCAGATCCAAAGCGTGCTCCCTGACCTCCAGCCATTCCATGCCATAGGTGAGTGCCCACACCTGGTTCTGTCGTTTCACACGGGCTATCCACTCGTCGAGGCGGGTCGGAGGTGCTGGCCTCTGCTCCCCTGGCCCCTTCAGATGTCTTGCCTCTGAGGCGAAAGCGTCAAGTTCAGCATCAGTCACCTGCACGAAGTCCGCGGCCGTCAAAGCATGCTTATCCGTTGTGCCCCAGTAGGGCCCTGCCAACCCCACAGCTAGCCTCGTCGAGATCTTTTGTCTGAAGCCCAAGGATCTCAACTTTGTGGAAGCCCCTACCTGGGCCGCAAGCAGCGAGTTAGCTAGCGCAGCCCCCACATCACCAGGGCAGACTTTCACGTCATACTGGTCGCACGCACGCATCAAGTAGACCAGTTCTTCGGATTGTCGACCTAATCCACGAACTGAACCTGGTGGGCGTTGGCCTGAATCCTGTTGTGCTCGTACCAACGTGGCAATCTCGGAGGTTTGGTTTTGGATAGCTTGAGTCAACTTAGCCATGGGGTCATAGGTCTCCTCCCGAGCTCCTGCCTTCCGGTCAGCGCTGCGTCCATAGATCCTCGGAGCTCCAACCAAGAGGTCCCCCACTCCTGCCTTCTCAGACATCTCCGGACTTGAGGGGTTTGAGGGTTTTCCAGAAGGGTCGGACGACACCACTCCAAGTACTCGATGGCTGCGGGGTGGATGGAGGGAACACCGGTTGGGCAACCTCTTGCGCATCCTTGCGCCACTTCTGTAGGAACTTTGACAGTCCCTTTTGACCCTTCTGCTGTTCCTCCCAAGCTTGACCATACAGCTTCCTGGTGATCTCTTGGAAGTTTGAACCATGGCGGTCACATAGCACTCCCCTAGCCTTCTCCTCCGTCATGCCTTCGTGCTTGCCCTCGGTGTAGACCTCGAAGAACTCCTCCAGGATGCTGCGTTCCGGCCCCCCATCAGGTGAGTCAAGCATTCCCAGCTTTGCTAAGCTCCTGTGAATTGATGACTTTGGTGTTCTCCCCGGTGACTTGGAAGTAGTTTTTACTCGCTTTGAGTCTGGCTCATCTTCCCACACATCATCGTGGGCACCTTTCATCTCCTGAAGCAAAGACCTGGCCTTGCTCCCTCTGTTGTCTGCTCTCCCTTCTCTCACGCCGTCCGACACCACCTCGAAGCCGTCGTCAAAGCGCCTTGAAGTACTCCTCCTCCGTGATGTAGTGGACGCAGAAGGTCTCCATCTCAGCCCACGGTCACCCTCGAGCTCGTTCACCTCCTCGCCCAGGTTGTCCTCCAGCTCGTGGTCCCGTGTTGGTTCCCGTGACCTAGACCGGGACGCCCGACGCTGCTTGACCGACTCCTCGTGGTTCCAACACAACATGAGCCCTTGATGGCCAGTGTGTCCTAGCCGTCGACAATCAGCGTGACTGCACTTCTTGGCGAAGCGCTTCAGGATATATTGGGAACCATGACCTTCACACAATGGGACCGTATCCTGCTCCCCCAGCTGATCTTCTTTGAGCAAAGTGGTGCGCTCCCGAGCTTGATGCGAACATGGAGCCGGGGCTAAGCGTTCATCTCCCTTCTCAGTGCTCCAGAAGACTCGATGAGCCTGGCATGGTTCCTCATCCCGTTCAGATTCGGAGCCCAGGTCCCGAACCTTCGCAGCCAGGTTCTTAGAGCCGCCCAGCGCCCACTGCCACGCTCTCGAACCCCAAGTCATAGCCTCCTTGTTCGCCTGGTTGAAGTTGAAGCTCTCGTAGTCGATCTTCTTGGTCAAGCCGTACACCTTGAAGTGATAGCCAGGCTCGCTGCACTCCTCGCTCCTGCACAAATGCACCTTGTCCACTCCCGTCAGCTCCTGTAACAGCGAAGGGGCTCCCCGAAGTGTGTCGACCTCGATGCCGATATAGACCCCGCTGGACCTGATCGGGTGGCTCTCATTGGACACCTTGAAGACGGCTGTGTGGTCACCCTTTTTGAGCACCACCCATTTGTCGGTGCTGGCGTGATACTTGAACTTGCGGAGCTCAGCAGTCTCGGGTGGTTGTCCAGTCCCAGGACCGAAGTAGTCCGCCATCGAAGCCTCGGGCGTTCCACCCAAGAAACGTTGGACCACAAAAACCACCCCACCAAGAGCACGAAGAAGACGTCGAGCTAGCCACACCACCGTCATCATCACCGCACACACCAATGACACCACCGGCCAACAGACCGCCCAGATGTAATGGGCGATGATGCAGCATCCCAGAAGGATGCAGCATTGACAGATGCGCCTGCATCCGTTTCGAACTCCAGCCCAGGCGCTCCCGAAGAGTGTCCAGCCAAGCAAGCTGAACGCCAAGTCAGCCAGCGTCCAGAGGCTCCAGTCGAAGCCGCTCTCCGCCGTGGGCTCCGTCAAAGAGGCCACCTTGGAGAAAGTCTCTGAGGCTCCATCTAACCAAGGCGTGGCCGCCGGAACCCATTCCTCGACCTTGCCTCGCCACCATGGCTTCATTGGTGAAGGTTCAGGTGGCGTCGAGGCATTCCACCACCCTCGTCCATGTGCAACGAGGGCAGCCACCATCAGCCATCTCACCACCATGGCGGATGCCCAGGGACCCTGGAAAAAACCAGGACCATTCAGATCCTCTTGAACCTCCAAAGGCCGGCGTGGCCACAACTGCTTCAAAAGCAACGCTTCACGAAGCTCCTACTAAACATGGCCACACGCACCACACGCGGGCCCCAACCCCCCCCAGCTTGGCCAACCGCTGCAAACCCAGGGCACTCGTCCAATGCGATAACCTCAGTGACGAAGCAGACGAAGCAACGACAAGGCGCCCCCCGGGCACGAAGCTGACGAAGCACTGCGAACGGCGCGAACGGCGCGATGGTTCGCCGTGACGTGTTCAGGGCAGGTTTACGGCAATCGCAACATCCAGATGAGTGGACATGAAAAACTTGAGGAATGACAAACTCCGTATAGAACAAAAACTTTGCAATTGAGTTGTGCCTCGCTGCACACACGTTCATTCTGGGTAGTGTGTCTTGCTTGCCCTGGAATAGCAACAACCTAGACAGCCTACTTGTCACAGGTAGGAGGGACTGCCGGCAAACTCCATCATCAGGAAGAGCCAGGAACTACTTTGCAGCATACGCAGGCACGTTGAACACACATCTGGCGCGCGTCTTAAGATATCAGAAGGGTTAAGGTTGAGAACTCAATGTGCTAACGAATAGGAACACACCAGTCCCTCACTTTGTAAGGCCGATAGAAATGGGTGTGCTGAAGAGATAGCATAAATACGATTCATAGAATTTACAAATGAGATACATGTTGCAGACCTCAAGCAACTTGGACGGCTTGTCACAGGCACGAGGGACTGCAAACTGCACATACATCGAAGACCCAGCCAGTGCAAGTTTGAAAATATTGTCTGAACTTAGATCTTGCGACACATGGTTGCGAATTGGATAGGACAAGCCGCAGATAGCCACTCTTCTGCGTCACCTTTGTCACTTGTGGCTTGGGAAATGGTCTGGCCTTGTGGTCTATGGCGGAAAAGGCGAAGACACAGGATTGCCAGATCTTCTGTTGCACTCGTATGGGTTCATCTCCACAGTACTTGTGGATACGTGTGGTGAATTGAACTCATACAAGCACGTGAAGCTCACGTAGCTCTGAGAACTCCAATGACTTCCACAAGAGCACCCTCACAAGGAAGGCACAGGCTCATCCCTGATGCCACAGCCGCTGCCAAGGCCGGGAAGCCACTGGCTCCAGGATGCCAACGAGGCTTGTCGGAGGCACCCTCTCATGCATGATCCACCCGTCTCTTGGTACATTCTCCGGAGAGGAACTGGGAATTCGGAACGCGCACGTCGCGTGGTGCGTGGACTTGCGTCGATGGGCCGTGCATTCTCGGGCCCACCGAGCCGATGGAGACTTGAGTCCATAGGGCCAGGAATGTGGGGCACAGACATGGGTGACTGGGTCGTATGATTCGGGAAGCGCAGCTCCATGTATGCGAGCAACTTCCACACCGGACGCTTCTCAAGTTGAATGCTCATCAGCTTGTAGATCCCTGAAAACTTCTCGTGGCCTGAATCGAACTTCAGCTTCTCCAACATATAAGGCTCATCTGGATGGAAATTGTACAAATCTGTCAAGACCTGAATCCACACAGGTGCCATACGCTGCTAACCTTTAATCCTAGTGAATGTGGAGCACTAGAATCGTTTGAATACACCCAAAGCCTTCGATGGCTACGTGCGGTCGGCCAGTGTTGTCCCAGCACCCAAAAGCTACACCCAGAGGGCCGGGTCCCAGAGGCCCGGGTCCCAGGAGGCCCTGCCAGGCTCTGCCAGGCCAGGTGCTCCTTCACCGAGCTCTGGATCGATCGACACGGCCCATGAGCCGGCCCATGATAGCTATAGACCAAGTGGCTGTTTCCCAAGTAGGCCACCACCTGCCAGGTGCGCCGGTGAGACACGTCAGTCCAATGGCGACGAAGAGACAGGCGCGTCTGTCGACAGGCGCGTCTGTCCGTGCGCCATGGCTTAGACCCAGACGAGGACGTCAAACAGATGTGACAACTGATTTGCGAACAGGGTGAACCCTCGGTATTTGACACGAAAAGCGCTGTCACAAGCTGAAGAATGCCGGTGATGAAGCTTTAGAAGACGATCTGGACTTCAAGTGTGTAATTAGCATCTCCAAGCATCACAGCGTCTCCCAAATCATGGTCAGATCCTGGTGTAGCGGCTAGTCCAGCACCACAATCTTTCTTCAGTCACAGCCACAGCCTTCCAAAAACGACCTCATCAACCCAACTACCCCATCAATCAAACACACCACACCATCACACACCCCAACACCATGCCTCACTGCTTCCGCCCCAAACCACCCGTGTTCGTGCGCCGCCGAACCGCCGAACCGCCGAACCGCCCCTGCCCCGCACACCCGCACACCCGCGAGTCGCCGCGAGTCGCCGCCCGCCTCGCTGCTTTGGTTCACAATGGCCACTGCACCGATCTGCGGCTCGCCGGGGCCCATAGGCATGTGCAGCGGAGCGCCATAGTCCTCGCGGACGGCGGGCGCAACCGCCGGCGGAGCACGGTGGGTTGGTGGGGATGTCTCCAGGCGCGGTGGTGCCAGAGCGTGGTGCGGACAGGTCAGAGACGTGCAGGTTCGGCGGCTTTTGGGGTCCGTTGAAGCGGGCATGAAAAGAACGACCCAATGGTCCAACGTCCTTTGATGCAGCATATCTGAAGAAAAAGCAGGCCGATTTGAAGAGTGGGATTTATCTCCCAGTGTTCATTCTGTGTTTTTTTCCACTGGGAGAATCAACCGAATCTGTTCTGCCCAAGAAGAGGCTCCCTCGCACGGTGGCTCTAGGTATGGAGCCTCCATGGATCACCGACCAAGCGGCCTGATGAGAACTCACACCCATCGCCCTCACATCCACCCCCTTCTCTCAGGCCATTGAACTGCCCTGCCCCACGGACCGGACCAGTCCCTGTGAATTCAGTCTGCCCGGTCATGGTCTGCCCATGGTCAAAAACAGAGGACATGCGGTTTTCATGGTATGCTGCTATGCCGTGGTTTGTGGGGTTAAAAGAGACACCACCGCTATACTCTACCATCTCTCCTTCATGACCCCCACCCTGCACGGTGGTGGCAGCCCCACGTCCTGCAGCAGGCTCAGCATCTCGGGCCTCGGCCACCGCGGGTTCGGCTGATCGGGAGATCGGCGGATCGGGCATCGACCCGGACGGAGATGCCAAGAGAGGTTTCTCTGTGACCTGAACGGACGGACCCATCACCTGCGGGTTTCCCTATGGGGTACGTCGAACGCGCGGGTTCTTCAACCTCTGTTGGTGGGGGGGCGGTCGCGCGCTGGGACGTGTTGCGAATGTGATTTTTTCTGTTGACCATGGGGGTTGCGATCCAAGCCCCACGCGCTGACGCGCGCAGTGATGCAGCTCATGACCGCAGCTTCTCAACCGAGCAAGTCGGCGCGAGGACAACCCGAGAGACGTCCGCGACTTCGTCTGCGGCCGAGCCACGCATCTGCAAAGGCTGCATCGTGTGCTGGAGTCCGGTGCCTCAGTTTTTCCCATCGAAAAAGGAGCCAAGCAGGCCAAAGCATCATGTTGGGGAGCATGTCGAGTCTTGAAGCTTTTTGGGGTCTCTTGACTTAATGAATTCCTAGCCTGACAGCATCTTCTGCTTGGAGAACCCCTCGCAAAGACCAGGAGTTCTGAACTAGTCCACGGAGTCCCCTCTACACCGAGGCTGCTGAACACCGGAACTGATGTTGCACTCCCAATACCCGGCGATAGCTTCAGCCCCTGGCGAGAGACACCAGGCTCGCTGGTGCTGGAGCAACAGATCAGCTGCCAAATGTCTGCCGAACTTGGCTGACAAGGCCAAAATGGGTCACAGTTGGAAGATCCCTATAGGTATAAGCACCCCATGGTGTCTAAGTGCCGAATGAACACCGACCCGGTTTCGGAGCCCTTTCAGCCCTTTCACCGTTCACCGTTCACCTCCGACCCTGCGTTCGGCACCGGGGGGCCAGGTGTCGGCGATGTGCAGGACACTCTTGGGCATTCGGCAGGTCTCCACCAAATACCTTCGGCGGGTCGACGACGGCGAGTCTCCGACGAAGGTCGATCGAGCCTTCGCGAAGGACGCGTGGGTCGAACGGGGCGAGGCGAGGTCTTCGGAGATGACGCTCGGGGGTCCACGCCGAACGGCAGAGGGCAGAGAACGGAACGCGCGGAACTCTGGAAGCAAGGGAGGGAAGACGTCTTCTTTGCAGGAGTATGTCTTATAGTATCACAGTAGTATGTTAGTACAATAGTACAATATCGATCTTAGTCTTAGATCATTGGTCTGAGTGCTTGCAGTACTCAAGGAGAGTATGAAATGTCATCGCAAACGCTGCAAAGGAAGAAGGCTACTTTCACGCAGTTCTCCACGAATCTTCTAACTGAGTCGACATGGGTCCACACAGTTCTTCCCCAGTCTTTCAACCCTTAGATTATCATTAGATTGGAAAGCGTCGGATCCGCTGCAAGCTCTGTGACTCTTACGAAAGTCGAGACGACCATTCCATGCCCACTCAACCACCATCGCCCACCTCCACGGGAAACCCATCATCTTGAGGAGAAAGAATACACTGCCCAACTTGACCAAAACACTGCCATACTTCGCAGGAGTCGTCTCGTGTCGTGACCACAGGCGACATGAGAGGAAAAACAGATCCAAGCAGCCCACGCACCATCCACCACACCTAGCCACCCTGAGCGTCCTGGCCCGCCAATAGTGGTCCTCAAATAGATAGTGGCACGCACTGTAAGATACATTCTGAAGGTGGGGATCTACTTTTCGATCTAAGTTGAGGACCACTAAAGCCACCCACCGTGGCCACTAAAGCCACCCACCAGTTGAGGACCACTAAAGCCACCCACCACCCCTTTCCGGCCTCAAAAGGTTCACATCCTGATCTCCCCGCGCCACCGCCAGGTGCGCCACCGTACGCCCATCCCCGTCGGGCTGGGAGAGGAGATCCTCCGGGAAGGCGCAGTCGTTCACCTCGGCTGAAGCGAAACGTGCCAATTCTAAAGGAGAGTCTCTATGAAGTCCTCCAACCTACGTAATAGCAATGGGCTCCAACCTATTAGCAATGGCCTCCAACCTAAGAGCGATGGCCTCCAACCTAATAGCAATGGCCTTCAACCTATTAGCAATGGGCTCCAACCTAGAAGCAATGGCCTCCAACCTAAGTGGGGAGACCATTCAAAGGGAGGGGGCCTGGAAGCCTGGAGTGTCCGGTTTGTGGGTTTTGACATGGATTGGAGGTTTGGAGGGTTTGTTTGGAGCGTCTGGGCCTTTCACATGTGGTATAGAAGAGCCATGAAAGAGCCAATGATGCACCTTCTTCTTCTGAGTTCCCAAAATTTGGTGTAGGAATGAAACCAAGAAGCTCCCAGGAGTGTCATCTGCCTTTATACAACAAGTGAGAAAGAACATACCATCTTATCACCTTGCTTTGGCTTACTGGGCCAACAGTCACCCCAAGAGTCCACAGAGCCGGTCGGTGACCTACACTCCGAGTCAAACTCACATGGAACTGAAGGGTCCTTCATGGTCATCCTTCGTCTTGGTTGTCCCATCTTTGAAACATGCCACTATGGCCACTGTCCGGAGGGTGTTTTTTGGCTTTTTGGGGGGGAGTGTTATATACTTCATGTTTAACCTTCGACCTCCTCATCCAAAGCATCACCACCGACCTTGAAAGCATCACTCACCACCCAGACCGCTTGGGGCCCAGACCAGCACGCCCAGAAAGCGCCCATATCCACGGGCGGCCGCCACATGCTGTGGCCAACTCCCCGAGTTGTCGCCCACGGACCTGGTGCGGTGGGGTGCCGCGCTCCTTCTCCACTCTGCAGGTAGTGGGTGTCACGGTGTCACGGTGTCATATGCCAGGTACTTGAGTTCTGGGATTGGAATAGGATCTCCCAAAGCTTGAAATGAAGGAAAATAGACCACAACCAATGATTGGAGCTGGTCCCTATTAAAGTAATTACAAACCTGGAGTCCTTTCAAAATCCTCATTTCTATCTACTAGAGTGGCCAAATTGGGTAGGTGGGTGTGTGCTCAGTCACCCGACGGCCTCACAGCCCAAAAAAGCCAAAAGCCGCTGCCCAAACCCTCCAAAGCCCGCAGAGGCGGCTCTGAATCCCACGATCCAATCCCTCCATCCTCCATTCTCCCTCCACTACTTGAGGCCATCTCCAAGGAGTCCATGATGGGACTCTCCATCCTCCCCTTCATCCTCCATCAATCTTCTCCATCCATCCTCTCGCAAGCCAAAGGTTTTCACCAGGCGGTTTGACTTGACCATGACGCAACGAGGCGTTGCGTCATACTTGTAACTTGCAACAGCACCCCATCCTCCATCCATTCCATCCATCCTCTTTTTGCAACTGAGGCCACCACTACTTGAGGCCAGCTCCAAGCAGTCCATGACGGCACTCTCCCCCCCTCCCTCCATCCATTCTCTCCATCCATCCTCAACCACGCGGCAGCTCCGCCGTGGTGAGGTTCCCCAGATCCGCGAAGGCGCGCAGCGTGGCGGCGTCGCCGCGCAGCGCCGCGTAGTGCACGGGCGTGCGGCCTCCGGGAGGGGCGTCCGAAGCGACGAAGCGAAGAAAAGTCTGTTGGTCCTCTGACCTGTGAGATCAGATCTGGTGTGTCTTTGGAAGATTTAGATCTGGGGATCAATGGAAAGTGGTAGATGTTGCAAGATGAGATTCGCACTTTTGGGCAGCAAAAGGCGGCTGTCAAGGACTGTTGGATTTCAAAGAGGTGTCTTTCCAAGTCATTCCAACCACTACTGGTCTCGAACGCACTCCGCAAAAACACCCCGCTCACCATCCACGAACGCAGGGCTCTGCGGAAAACGGCTGCGGCAGCCGCTGCGCCCCGCGAACGGAACGGTGCCTAGATGATCTTGATGCGTGAGCGCTGCACGTGGCAGCTTCTTGTCGCCCACCTGGCAGCGACATTCTGTTCCGAACAAAACCATCCATTCAGAGCTTTAAACCAGAAAAACATCTGGGCGAACCGTCCGATGTCTTAGACCTGTCTCCCCCAAAACAATATCAGGCGGCGAATATCAGGCTTCGGCCTCGGAACTCGGAGCTCTGATTCGAATCGATCAAACGAAGTATATTCTTCACACGTCAATGCTCAGACCTCTCGTCTGGACCATTGGTTGGGGCCGACCAATTGGGACTGGGGCTCCGAGCCATCATTGCCAGGCACTCCTCAGTGCGCCCATGGATGCCCCCCAAAAAAAAACGGACCAAATCCAGGCATTGGGAGCCTCAAACGGGTACAAGTGACTTGGACTTGGATGTTTTCATATGCCTTTAATGACCCCATCTCTTGATCAAAGCACAAACAACATCCAGTTTCTGACTGAAATCAAACTTTGCCTTGGGAACACTCCGGTTCGGGACCTGACCACCACTCAAAACCATTCGCTTCCACTGCTTCCACGCCTGCTTCCACACCATCATTTCTGCCCCAAACACCCATGCAGGCCCAGAACTCCTCCCCTCCATCCTACCCCCTCCATCCCACTCTCCCCCAACGCCCAACGGTGGAGTGCTCCAAGGCTCCATGTGCCCCTTCTCCACCGCCAGGTGTGCCACGTTCCGCCCCTCCGCATCCTCCGCGCGCAGCGCCCGCGGCTCGACGGCCCAGTCCACGCCGGTGGCCAACCTCGAGAGAGAGAGAGAGGAAAAAAAGAAAGAGAGGGCGAAAACCTAATTGTATATAATGGATTATAATGGCCTCCAACCAACCTAAGCGATGGCCTCCCAACCTAAGAAGCGATGGCCTCCAAAAAGGGAGGGAGGGAGGGAGAGGTCTGGTGGGCTTCTTGGTGGGGGCTTCTCGGCTGGGTCCGGTAGACCGTCGACGTTAGATGGGAGAGGAGGAGGATTTGAATGGATTTGACAGAAATGATGGCCAAAACACCGGGCAAAAACCAAGCAGTTTGGATGGTCTAGTGTTCATCTGTTTAGTTTTTTTGGTTCTGGTTGCCTGATTTGGGGAGGCTCATTCGGTTTCTGAGTGTTTTTTCTTACGCCAATCGAAGTCCAGAAAACTATCTCAAGGGTGGAAGGGAAACCATGTCTACAAGGGCCACCGGCTCCACCTGCCCGCCATGCCGAACCTGTCACCTGAGCCAAGGAACATGTAGAGCGCATTGGGACAGGTCTGTGACGCCGCAAAGTGAACGATCTTGGCCAGCGGTGAACACTGTGAGAGTTCAGTTTTGGACGTCAAAGGCGAAACTGAAGCCAGGACATCAGACTTCAATCTGACGGGAGGCCATGGCTATACAGGTTGGGGGCCATCGCTACTAGGTTGGAGGCCATCGCTATGGTTTTTGGCAGGTCATGGTCATGGCCTCCGAATAGATTGTTCGCCAGCGTACGTGTCTTTTTGGTCGAGCATCAAGATTAGTTGCATCTGATCACTATACAAAACAATTCCGCATATCTCAAATCTAAACATCCAGCATCGGTTGCAAGCATCATACATCCTTATGACAACAACAACCCAACACTCACTATAAGCAGTGTAGAATGTCCTTTCACCGATGAAATTTGCAAACCTTACCATGGGATAGATCATGAGAACATTCATGGAAAGCATTCTGCAAACCTGTGTTGTTTGCTAAAGGAATAAAAATAGATCAGATAAATGTATATATTGCACTCACACACTCCTGTTTTCGGCCAGCTATCTGAAGGTTTCAAATGTTGGTGTCTCACACCAACATACCTTTGTTGGAAATCAAAGCCTCCATGGCCTAACATTCCTTAAGGTCACCTGCGGACCTGACCTC